CGACACTGGAGACTCTTCTGAACCTGACGCTGAACTAGGGCTGTGCAATTAATCGTATTTTAATCGCAATTACGATTTTGGCCTGCCACAATTACGAAAACAACATAATCGGAAAAAACAATTATTTTGCTTTGCTAGGTTGTGACAGTGCACTGCAACATATTTGATCTAATTTATTTTGGTCTAATTTATTTGTATTTATCATATTTATATATGTTTAGTAGCTTGGGGAAGTGCGCTCCAAAATATTTGTTGATCTTGTTTATTGGTATTTATTATTTGGATATTATTTATTTAAATGTATCATTTATTTTATTAATTTTTGTATTGGTTTTTCAGTTGAATGATACGTTCAGGGTAATCAACAGTTAAAAAGATACTGTTCAAATTATTATTTGTATTTGTTTTAAAGTTCAATAAATGGATTTTTTCAAAGTCAATGAATAATCGTATTTAATAATCGTGATATCAATTATTGACCCAAATAATCGTGATTATGATTTTTGCCATAATCGCACAGCCCTACGCTGAACACAGTGCTGATTGGAAGGAGACCAGAGAACCTGCCTCAGACTCAAAGTCACTGAAAAATAGACAAGAATCTGTCAGTGATCCACGACGTAGTGCTGGAAAGAAACCACTCAGCTGCTCAGTCTGTAAGAAAGCTTTTAGACAGAAGAGATCTAAATCCACACAGGAGAATCCACACAGGAGAGAAACCCTTTGGCTGCTCAGTTTGTGAGAAATTTGTGAATTTTTCACAGAATATACATTTATATATTTATAATTTATACCCTTTAATTTAAACCCCCTGTTTTAGAGTCACTATGTGTCAGTCAGTGCTGGCTGTCATCATCTTTTCAGCTCTTCCTCATCTCTGCCACAGCTGGGGATCGAACCGCGGACCTTCCGCTCCCCACGGGCCCACTTCCCTCTCCTTGCCCCCCTGCTTTCATAGAGAAGAATGGGCAGTATCCTAGGAGGTGGATACTGCCCATTCTTCTCTGTGAAAGCAGGGGGGCAAGGAGAGGGAAGTGGGCCCGTGGGGAGCGGAAGGTCCGCGGTTCGATCCCCAGCTGTGGCAGAGATGAGGAAGAGCTCCCCTCTCAGCCATGACAGCCAGCACTGACTGACACATAATGACTCTGAAACAGGGGGTTTTGGTAAATGATGATGATTGTAATAAACTACAATGAGTACGGTATCTGTAAAGTGCTGTGAGATAACATCTGAATCAATAAAACTGATTTGATTAAAGAAAGGTTTGTACTACAGAGCTGTATTATGATGCATCATATATTTTTTATATATATATATATATATGTGTGTGTGTGTGTATCATCTCATCATCTCTACTGTGCTTATTTATGCACCATGTTGTGTTTTATTGACCCGTGTTGCAGTCAAATATCAGAAGTTTCGTAATGAATTCTAAATAAAGTTTCCACACAAAGTTCAGTTCAGAGTTTTATTTAAAAATATAAATTATAAATATATATTCTGTGAAAAAGCTTCCTCACAAACTGAGCAGCGAAAGGGTTTCTCTCCTGTGTGGATTCTCATGTGTGGATTTAGATCTCTTCTATGTCTAAAAGCTTTCTCACAGACTGAGCAGCTGAGTGGTTTCTTTTCAGCACTACGTCGTGGATCACTGACAGATTCTTGTCTATTTTTCAGTGACTGAGGCAGGTTCTCTGGTCTCCTTCCAATCAGCACTGTGTTCAGCGTCAGGTTCAGAAGAGTCTCCAGTGTCGTCCTCAGTCTTTGGTTGTAAACTGCTCTCTGGATCTGAGTTCGAGGAGGAGGGGCAGCCATGAGAGCCAGCACTGACTGACACATAGTGACTCTGAAACAGGGGGTTTTGGTAAATGATGATGATTGTAATAAACTACAAAGAGTACGTTATAGTATCTGTAAAGTGCTGCGAGATAACATCTGAATCAATAAAACTGATTTGATTAAAGAAAGGTTTGTACTACAGAGCTGTATTATGATGCACGTTATATTATATATATATATATATGTGTGTGTGTATCAGTTCATCATCTCTACTGTGCTTATTTATGCACCATGTTGTGTTTTATTGACCCGTGTTGCAGTGAAATATCAGACGACGTGTAATTAATTCTAAATAAAGTTTCCACACAAAGTTCAGTTCAGAGTTTTTATTTTACAGGGATGCAAACTCATCAGGTATGAAAAAGGTGACAAGGATCCGAGCCCCCCGACCCCACGGAATATCGGCTTTAAAATGAGGAATAACAGGATGTTAGCAGTCAGAACAACTAAAGCAGTTCATAATAACAGAAACGCCAAAGAGTCACATCTAATAGAAATGTATAAAAGCATTTATTTTAATTGTGTAACAGTCAGTTTATAATTTTGGCAGCACTGTTGAGCATTTTGAAAATGTATTTTCATGCCTCTGTGCAAGGCTTAGTCTTTCTATCTGTATAGCCAGTGGTGTAAAGTAACTAAGTTCATAAACTCAACAAGTACTATACTTGGGTACAATTTTGAGATACTTGTACTTTATTTAAGTATTTCAATGTGTTGCTACTTTGTTCTTCTACTCATCTACAGTTCAGAGGTACATGGTGTACTTTTACTCCACTACATGTATTTAATACCTTTAGTTACTTTACAGATGTGGATGAATGATGTGAAATATAATCAAGTGTTAAATCAGACTTTAGTTCCACCTGGAGTAAATCCACAAGCTACCCTGCAGTATACAAAGTCATTCAAACTAGCTGCACCTTTACCAGCTTTGAGAACACTTTCATGATCAATCATTATAAAACATATCATATATATTATTCTGAAATGGACCAATCTGCACAATGACTACTTTTACTGTCGCTACTTTCACTATATTTTGATGATAATACTTTCCTACTTTCACTTGAGGAACATTTTGAATGCAGGACTTTTACTGTAACAGAGTATTCCTACACTCTGGTACTTCTACTTTTACTCAAGTACAAGATCTGAGTACTTCTACTTTTACTCTAGTACAAGATCTATACTTATACCACCTCCGTTTATAGCCTATGAAAAAAACTATTTGAAAACGAAGGCTAAAGCTAACGTTAGCAGTGACAATGTATGCTAGTTAGCTAGCTCAACGATAATATTGCGACAGGAACACTTTTCAGTGCACATCACGCTCTGCGCTCCGACAGGGAGCTCTGCTCTGAACACCTGAACGGCCCGTTCTAACAGCTGTTCACCAGCGGTCCAGTCTGTGCCACAGTGACTCCGGACCGCACAGTTAATATTAACGAACGCACCCGTAGGTAATGTCTGGTAATGCCTGGTCTACAAGATCCACTACACCTCTATGGTACCCATGTACATGTCAAAATTCTTCCCAAAGGTCAAGGAATACCATGATCATAACACCAGAGGGAGCTCCACAAATCATGTAAAACCCAGATTTGGCACAAAAAAAGGGGAATACACGTTTCGCAATTATGCCACATCAAGGTGGAACGCTCTTCCCACAACTGTAAAGGAAAGTAAAACTATACTTACCTTCAAAACCTCTCTTAAAGAGCACCTTCGGGGGAAAGCATTGCAAAACTGGCCCCGGTAATGGTACAAATCTCAACCTGTCGTACAATGGACAGCTTCCCCCCCCCATCTATGTATATACTCGCATTTTAGACTCTGTTACTAACTGTATATCTGTAGACTTGGTATGTCTTAAATGTCCGGTTAGGATGTATTAGAACGAAATCTAAAATGAAAATTGTAAATAAGCCATCTGTATGTAAAAAACCACCTGTATGTAAATTGTAAATAAGCCATCTGTATGTCAAATATGTCTTATATGTCTTAAATGATATGATGAATTGGAAATGGGGGACCCTGATGTAAACAAGACGAAAGTCTTTCTCTGGTCTGCATCCCCTTAACAATTGTATGTTTTGAGCTGTACTGTACTGTACCCAATATACAAGCTGTTAATAAACTTTTCAATCAATCAATCAAATGTAGCTGCTGAAGCTAGACCCTCATCCCGGAGCAGCAGAGCCTTATTATACATCCATGAGCAGAGCCGACAGGCAGGAAGACTCCAGCACACAGCTCGCGCTGCATTATAATATATAAAAAAAGAACACCATGCGTGTCATGATGGCACATAACAGCTCGCGGCCGCAGATTACTCCGGGTCCCAGACCCCCCCCATACCCCAAAAATATTTTTATTGCAGATCTCCATGAATCACACAAACGACCTATTTTGGATTCAAAACGGCGAATTTCGCCGAAAGGTGACAAGTTTGCATCCCTGCTAGAGACATGTATTAGTTTTTTATTTAATGTAGTTCTAGTATGAAGCGTCTGTGATGGAAATCTATTCCCAGGATAAATAAAGTGTTCAGATTCAGATTAAAGAACCACATTGCCCCACGCAGCAGCTCAATATACAAGATGTGTCAACAGTAATGTCTGTATGTAAGTATAAGACTTTCTAAATATGCAAATTAAAGTCTGTATCTGTTACTCTGCTGCACAGTAACCCTTGCCCCTCTTGTTTGTTTGTTTGTTTGAACACCATGTAAAGCAGGCTTGGGTCCCTTGAAAGGCGCTATACAAATGTAATAGAGCGGTGCAGTGACGCGTCCTAAAACCAGAAGTGAGTCAGCATTTCACCACTTCCTGTTCCCTGGTCTCAGAGCCAATGGGATCTCTCCATAGGACTTTGGAAAATATCTGGAACTAAGGTCTGTGGTTGAGACACATTGAAGAGACGGATCACGTTTTGTTCTACGACATTAAATCCATCAGCAGTGACCCCACTGGTGATTCCTGAAGAGTTGACGTGTCTGAAAAAGTGGCTGAATAGGACTACAGAAGTTGTGGAGGACGTTGTACGTCATTACGCCGAACACGTGAACACTTGTTTGCCCTGTTCTGCTTGAAAACAAGTACCTTCGAGCTATTTTCCAAAATCCTATGGAGAAATCCTGTTGCTTTTTTGTCGAGGGAACCAGCAGCTTACTTCCGGGTAAATACGTCATCCCTGCACCGCTCTATCTATTACTATTATTATTATTATTATAAGACTTTTAAATATGCTAATTAAATGGTATCTGTTACTCTGCTGCACAGTAACCCTTGAACAGGTCGTAGAGTTCGTCCAGGCCTCTGTTCAACTCCTCTGTCAGTTTCCGGATCTTTGTGGCGAGCCCCGACTCCAGGCCCTTCTTCTTCTCCTTCTTCTGCTCCTTCTTCTGCTCCTTCGTCTGCTCCTTCGTCTGCTCCTTCGTCTGCTCCTTCTTCTGCTCCTTCTTCTGCTCCTTCTTCTGCTCCTTCTTCTGCTCCTTCTTCTGCTCCTTCTTCTGCTTCTTATCGGCAAATTGGAGGTTGATGCCGAGGGCCAGACCCTCCATCAGCCCGGAGGCATGGCCGTGTGCCTCGAGGGCCAGAGCTCTGACCCCCCCGGAGGCTGTGAGCGTCACCATGCTGGCTGCTCTCCCCCCCCCCTGAGAGGCCTCGCTGAGGGCGGGGAGGCCGTGCTGCTGCAGATGATCCATGCCCTGCTGGATGAAGCTCAGGCTCTCCTGCAGCTTCCCCATGATCTGCTGGAACTCCTCGAAGGTCTTTTCGATCTTCTTCTTGCCCTGATCCACGTTCGCCTGCAGGAAAAAAAGACAGCAGCTTTAAAGGTCTCCTATTATACTATTTTTTAGGCATATATTATAGGTCTCAGATATATAAAAATGTGTAAAAAAACGTGTCTATGAAGTGTTTTGCTCAAAATACCAAACAGATCATTCTAGCTCATATCCCTCTATTTCAGCCCTGTTACTAAAGTGCTGATTCTGGATGGTGACGTGAAGTCATGTGACCCTGCTGTAGTGCCTTTATAGCTCAACATTAGCCGCCTTTAGCTTAGCGTGGTGACGTGAAGTCATGTGACTGTGCTGTAGTTCCTTTATATCCCAACATTAGCCGCCTTTAGCTTAGCGGTGGTGACGTGAAGTCATGTGACCGTGCTGTAGTTCCTTTATAGCCCAACATTAGCCGCCTTTAGCTTAGCGGTGGTGACGTGAAGTCATGTGACCGTGCTGTAGTTCCTTTATAGCCCAACATTAGCCACCTTTAGCTTAGCGGTGGTGACGTGAAGTCATGTGACCGTGCTGTAGTTCCTTTATAGCCCAACATTAGCCTCCTTTAGCTTAGCGGTGGTGACGTGAAGTCATGTGACCGTGCTGTAGTTCCTATATAGCCCAACATTAGCCACCTTTAGCTTAGCGGTGGTGACGTGAAGTCATGTGACCGTGCTGTAGTTCCTTTATAGCCCAACATTAGCCTCCTTTAGCTTAGCGGTGGTGACGTGAAGTCATGTGACCGTGCTGTAGTTCCTTTATAGCCCAACATTAGCCTCCTTTAGCTTAGCAGTGGTGACGTGAAGTCATGTGATCGTGCTAGTGGTGGTGTCTTAAAAAAGGCATACATAAAAGAAGCTAAATAAGACTATTAAACGTCATTACGTAAACACGAGATTATCCATCTAAACAAAACGTGTAAGTATCATAAACTAAAATCACATGGAGGAATCCCATTGGACCAGGGAGATGCTGCCTTCAGGCGTTGTCTGTATTTGGGAGTGTTTCTGTTCACCTTGTGTGCGATGGCGGCGGAGGCTCCGGTGATCCCTCCCGCCGCCATCACCCCGGCGCCGGCGACCGTCAGCAGCAGCGAGGCCCCCAAGGTGAAGGGAGCCAGAGCGACACCTGCAACTGCTGCCACCCCCCCCAGCGCTGACGTCGCTCCGCCTGTGATGCCCGCTATCTTTGTCCCCTTTGACACCTGCAACCAAATTAAATGTAGGAGTAGAATACAAAAATTAAAAAACTAAAGAATAAAAGTCAAATTGAAAAAATGTAAGAATAAAAACATTGAAATAATTAAAAGTAAAAATTGAAAAAAGTAAGAAAATTGAGAATTACATTTTTTTTAAGAAAATTACCAATGAAAAAAATAAATAAATACAAATTGAAAAAAGTTAAAAAATGTAAGAATTAATCAAATGTAAGAATACAAAAATTAAAAGTAGAAATAAAACAAATGTAAGAATTAAAAAGTTATTGAAAAAAGTAAAACATTTAAGTATTACAAAAAATAAAACATTACAAAAATTAACAATAACAAACAAAATAATAATAAAAAGTAAACATTTACATAATATAGTTGTGTTAATATCAGTAAAGAAGTTGAGAAGTTTCATGGTGACATCTGATAGTCACAGTTTTTACCTTCACCACCTGCAGTGTGCACAACATGTATTTGAACAGATGTTTTCTGGTTACCTTGTCTAAGTTGTCCGCGATGCAGAGCAGCTCCTGGGTGTGTTTCTTCAGAGTTTCTCCATGTTCAGACAACAGGATGTTGAAACACTGGATAGCTTTATACAGATTTTCAGCTTGAGCTTTGATGATCCTGCAATAATCAGATTAGTACTGTAAAAAAGTCTAAAAGAAACGTTTATGATACTTACACGTTTAGTTCAGCAGGATAATCTCCACATATTAACCCTCTTCATGATTTCTGAAGTAAAAAGCTAATGCTGGGCTATAAAGGAACTACAGCACGGTCACAAGACTTCACGTCCATACATGCCAACCTTTCCAAATCCAAAAGAGGTAGGTTTGCGCGCGGCAAATGTGCATGCCCAAACTAGGTAATCAGAAGAAATGGAACCCCAGTAATTACATGTAGAAACCATGTATTTAACATATATTACATCATTTTATGCATTTTTCAGAAAAAGTGGTAGTTTGGTAAACAGTGACATCAACGACATGTTTGGTCTGTAAAATGTCCAAAAGTAAAAGAATGGGAGATAAATATCCCAAAGTCTCCACATTTTATTATATTTTGTGTGTTTCTGGTCCTCTTTCAGTTGAGACAGTGTAGATGAAGGATGTGTCAGAATGTAGAACTCTTGTGTGAACATTGGATAAAGCCAGGTTCATATTCTTGTTTCATGTTGTTGACATATTATTCAAAGGTTTGCACAGAGCGAAATATCTTTGTGTTGCGCCATAAATCAGAAAATACTGCATTACAGTATGTATTACACAACAGTCATTTCCGGCATGTTTTTGCAGTGTGATATAAATAATGTACAAGCTTTCAGATTGCTGTAGTTCACTAAGCAGAGACATTAACGACATGTTTGGTGTTGAAAATGTCCGAAAAAGTGAAAGAATGGGAGATAAATATCCCAAAATTGTATAATATTTTTTTTGTGTTTGTGGTCCTCTTTCAGTTGAGACACTGTAGGATGCTTCCGGAAAAGACCAAACACTGGATGTCTTTCAGTCGCCAACATGTGTTTTCGAGACACTGATATTAACGGGGAAACCCTGCAGGACTCAAATGCCTCGTCTCTGTTCCCCTAAACTCTTTTGGGAGTGATGACTGGTTATTATCAGTCCCGGGGGACTGCGGCAGGCTGGCTTGACTGTGTTTTCCGAAGTGGAGGCTGGCTTGACCGCAGTCCCGGGCGTAACGCTGCCCTTCCTCTGCACGTTGTTTCACTTTCAGAAACACAGAAGACTGTTTGTAGGATGGGATCACAGACACGCTGCAATCGGTTTCCGCTAAAAGTCGAGTCCAGTGTCTATGGAGTGTCATTTTAATTTTTTATAATTTGGGAAGAATTAAATTCGGTAGGAAAAGCCGGCTAAATCGGTAGGCGGTAGAAACATGTCAAAAGCGGTAGACTACCGCCCAAATCGGTAGGGTTGGCAGGTATGCACATCACCAACGCTAAGCTAAAGGAGGCTAATGTTGGGCTATAAAGGAACTACAGCACGGTCACATGACTTCACGTCACCACCGCTAAGCTAAAGGTGGCTAATGTTGGGCTATAAAGGAACTGCAGCACGGTCACATGACTTCACGTCACCACCGCTAAGCTAAAGGTGGCTAATGTTGGGCTATAAAGGAACTACAGCACGGTCACATGACTTCACGTCACCAACGCTAAGCTAAAGGAGGCTAATGTTGGGCTATAAAGGAACTACAGCACGGTCACATGACTTCACGTCACCACCGCTAAGCTAAAGGTGGCTAATGTTGGGCTATAAAGGAACTACAGCACGGTCACATGACTTCACGTCACCACCGCTAAGCTAAAGGTGGCTAATGTTGGGCTATAAAGGAACTACAGCACGGTCACATGACTTCACGTCACCACCGCTAAGCTAAGGTGGCTAATGTTGGGGCTATAAAGCAACTACAGCACGGTCACATGACTTCACGTCACCACCGCTAAGCTAAAAGGTGGCTAATGTTGGGCTATAAGGAACTACAGCACGGTCACATGACTTCCACGTCACCACCGCTAAGCTAAAGGTGGCTAATGTTGGGCTATAAAGCAACTACAGCACGGTCACATGACTTCACGTCACCACCGCTAAGCTAAAGGTGGCTAATGTTGGGCTATAAAGGAACTACAGCACGGTCACATGACTTCACGTCACCAACGCTAAGCTAAAGGAGGCTAATGTTGGGCTATAAAGGAACTACAGCACGGTCACATGACTTCACGTCACCACCGCTAAGCTAAAGGAGGCTAATGTTGGGCTATAAAGGAACTACAGCACGGTCACATGACTTCACGTCACCACCGCTAAGCTAAAGGTGGCTAATGTTGGGCTATAAAGGAACTACAGCACGGTCACATGACTTCACGTCACCACCGCTAAGCTAAAGGTGGCTAATGTTGGGCTATAAAGCAACTACAGCACGGTCACATGACTTCACGTCACCACCGCTAAGCTAAAGGTGGCTAATGTTGGGCTATAAAGGAACTACAGCACGGTCACATGACTTCACGTCACCACCGCTAAGCTAAAGGTGGCTAATGTTGGGGCTATAAAGGAACTACAGCACGGTCACATGACTTCACGTCACCACCGCTAAGCTAAAGGTGGGCTAATGTTGGGCTATAAAGGAACTACAGCACAGTCACATGAACTTCACGTCACCACCGCTAAGCTAAAGGTGGCTAATGTTTGGGCTATAAAGGAACTACAGCACGGTCACATGACTTCACGTCACCACCGCTAAGCTAAAGGTGGCTAATGTTGGGCTATAAAGGAACTACAGCACAGTCACATGACTTCACGTCACCACCGCTAAGCTAAAGGTGGCTAATGTTGGGCTATAAAGGAACTACAGCACAGTCACATGACTTCACGTCACCACCGCTAAGCTAAAGGGGGCTAATGTTGGGCTATAAAGGAACTACAGCTCGCTCACATGACTTCACGTCACCACGCTAAGCTAAAGGTGGCTAATGTTGGGTTTTAAAGGAATTTATGTACTTACGTTGCCTCCTTCGCTCCTTCAAGTTCTCTCAACAGATCTGTCCAGGCTGTAAGTCAATGAAACTGTACTTTAGAAAATGTAACACAGCCTCCTTTGTTATTTTATTTAGCAACCTGAGTGGTGCTCCCACCTGTCAGCTGGAGTTGTGGAGCCCTTTGATGCGGCAGCGGAGGAGGTTGGGATCTACAGTTTACAGTTTCAGTCACCTGAGAAAATGAAAATCAAGCTTTTTTAATACAAAAATCTCCCGGTGTTGATGTTTTGCGGGAAGTTCTTTGAATGGTCAACAGTTAAATGATATAGATTTTGCAACAGAAAATAAGAAGTAAACGTTACGTTCACTATTTCCATGTACACATTTTCTACTGCATGTTTCTTGATGGTCCATCTCTTTGGAGCGACGGGCGGAGGAGTCACACCTCGCTGACGACAAAAGAAATACGTATGAATTCATGCCGTTTTTGCTCAATATGTGACGTTTTTAAATAATACGTACATTTTTTGGAGTATGTTAAATATTTAAATAAATTCAAGGCACTTGTTTTATCCCCAGGGGGTAATTTGTAGAGAAGCACAGTAACACAAATATTTAAAAAGTAACTGTATTATGATAATAAGTGTCCGGACCAAAGAAGACCTTGTTTGGTGATTGGTATTTTAAGTATGAATACTAATAAACACACAAAATATATATTTTTTAATTTGAACTGTGTGCTTTATTAAAGATGATATTATACAATATCATTATTAATAACAATAATCACAAACATATATAATTAAAATAAATAACTGTACATGTACGGTTTTGTGCTCCTGATGTTTACACATGAATGATCAAATAAAATACATTATTATTATTTTATTAATAATAATAATAATAATAATAATAATAATAATAATAATAATAATAAAAACAATATAATAATACAATGTATTAAAATGTATAATCATAAAAATAATAAAATAATGAAGACTTAAAACATAGAAATAATTCCAACGAAAAATTGATAATAGGAAAAAAAATGAAGAATAAAAAATGTAAAAGTGAAAAAGTAAAACATTTAGGAAATAAAAGAATGTAAAAAAATAAAAAATGTTAGATTAAAAAATGAAAATAAAATTGAAAAAAATTAAGAATTAAAAAAAATGAATGAATACAAATTGAAAAAAGTAAAAAATGTAAGAAGAACATAATATAATAAAATACTAATAAAGTGTTTCCTCTGACCTCGGCTCTGGTCGGCTCCTTTTCCGGCTCCTTTTCCGGCTCGTGTTCCTCACTTTTATCTGAAGGGAGAAACTTTCTCCTCGGGGCGGGATCAGGACGAGTTATCTGCAGAAGAATAAATAGAATAAATTCTTCATAAAACATTCATTTTATTAAACAAAACTGCACTTTTTCAACCACTGTCGATATGAAGGAAGTTTATTATTAAGATATTTAGAAATGTCTTTAAATCAGGCCTTGTGAACTTTTTTAAAGCATCTTGTTACGTGCCGTAGTGGGTGCCGTGTTGTGTGTGTGTCCCTCCAGGTGCAGCCTCTCCCTCAGGTGCTCCCAATCCCCAATCAGGGCCTCCATAAAGGACCTGAGGAAGGCTGCAGTCTCTGGCCGTTTCTCAATGTCGAGTATACCTGCTGCAGAGCCACTATTTCAAGTATACTACGTCATCGAGTGGTGCCGAATGCTGGGCATTTAACATGCATTTAAACAGTCCTTCGGCGCCACTCGATGACGTAGTATACTTGAAATAGTGGCTCTGGAGCAGCCTTCCTCGACATTGAGAAACACCCTCTCTCTCCTTCTCCTCTGGCTGTGTGTGCAGCATGTGTAGTGTAGTGTGGAGTCACTTCCTTCAGAAGCTAGGCAAGAATCCTTCCTGGCATTCGGAAAACGAAGAGTGGAACAGGCTAGCAAGTGTGCAGGTGTGCGTCATATGAGAAGCCCCGCCTTACATCTTCCGCCACAGATTTGGGGAAATTGGTCCGTGCGCAAAGCATTGTGGGGATTTTAAGGACGCGAAGTCTACCCATGTGCAGACTCGAAATTTCCCCCAAACCAAGGGCGCGGCCTCCGTGGAATTCCAAGTATGCTGGACATTGGAACGGTCCTGCTGCGCCACTTGATGACGTAGCATCCTTGAAATATTGGCTTGGAAGCCAATATCCTCGCGATTGAGAAACGGCCTCTGTCTCTGTGTGAGGCCGGCTAGTTTCACCTGCGTTTTGTTCATTGTTAGGAGAAGTGCTCCAGTGTATCTTTGTGTATTGTTTTAAGTTAGTCACTTTCTTTTAGGAGAAAGGTGTTCTTAGTTTACCTCACGTTTACTTTGCAAACTGGCTGAGTGAGCCCTCTTTACTTTTGGATTATTAAACATCACCTTGTGGCTTCAGCAATCAGTTTCCTCTCCTTTTTTCTCTCTCCCGGTTATTGTATATTGTGTTGCTCCCCTTTGTACCCCTAGTCCAGGAGGGAACGTAACAATCGTCTTTGTTGATTTCTATCAAATTTTGTGTTGTGAGAAAAACTTCAACATGAAACTGACAGTATCATCAGACGTGAAGGAATCCTGTAAATCTCGTCAGACGTGATTTTAACCACCTCGTTATTTTTAGCCTCTGATTTCACTTTTACTTTGACTAAAAGCATTCACTAGTTTTGCAACAGATTACTGCACACAATGATTTACAATTACTTTTGTGTTTCATATGTTATGTTAGAGTGTGTTGGGGCGCCACTGATGGTGATGAAAGCTGGTTCGAGGGGCCCCCAGTGAATGTTTGCCTAGGGCCCCCACAGACTCGCCACTGACTCAACCTACCTGGAAATAAACCTGATTCTGATTCTGATGTGGTTTTTTAGTATATCCAGATTTCATGTAAATAATTGTCTAAATCTTAACGTTTAATAGTTTCAATTGTTTTTATTTTTGGTTGTTTTTCTTACTTTTTTTATCTTTAACTGTATTTAAGTAAGCACCATGTACACAAAGGGAAGTGTGTGTGTGTGTGTGTGTGTGTGTGTGTGTCTGATTGTCTCCCTCCAGGTGCAGCCTCTCCCTCAGGTGCTCCCAATCCCCAATCAGGGCCTCCATAAAGGACCTGAGGAAGGCTGCAGTGGCCTCTCCTTCTCCTCTGGCTGCATGTGTGTGTGGTGTCTCTGCCTCTGTGTGAGGCTAGTTTCACCTGTGTTTTGTTAATTATTAGATGTGCTCCAGTGTATCTTTGTGTATTGTTTTACTTTAGTCACTTTCTTTTATATGTAACAAAAAACCTGACTGTGTTTATGTTTCAGACGTCGATAATAATCTGCTTTTTTCACGGAAAATTACCTTTTTTTTTAAAGAATTTTCTCATCTGAATTCATCAACATGCACCTTTTAAAAAAAATTAAAGAAATTGCACTTTTAATTTTAAACGTTTCTTTTCATAGCGTTCAAATCACATAAAACGATTTTTATTGAATTTTAAAGCGTGCTTCAAACTCTGGACGTCATTCAGCGAAGCAGCAATAATCTACAAGACACAAGCTGCAAAGAAATACCTCTTTAAATGTGCCTTATCTCACGTGTTCTGCAGCATTTTACTTTAAAGGCAATGCAGCTCAATAATCTCAAGCACAAACGAGTGTTTTCCCTTACCTTGGACATGTTGCTGTGCAGGGAGTCGCTCTGCTTCTGAACTCACTTTCACTCTCACAGACACATAAACCCTAAAACAATAAACAGGTTGGACGTGAAAGCGATGCATCAGAGCCGAGTGTGCGTGTGTGTGACAGTGTTTGCAACAGTGTGTGACAGTGTGTATGTGTGGCCAACAGTGTGTGCTTGTGTGTGTGTGCAACAGTGTGTGTGTGCGTGTATGTATGTAAGCTTCAACGCTTCTGCCCATTCACTTTGCAAAAGTAGAGCAATGTTCTACTTTTGAAGCTTCGACGGAAGCGTCAGCCAATCGAATCATATGCCAGTACAAGCTCTAGCCAATCAAACCGCTGCTTGTGTGTCCGGGGCGGGAGATTCAGGTGATTGGTTGTTGGTCTAGCTTCGGACATGCCCGCCGGCAAGCGACAACGCACGCCGCCGTGTGTAGGGGCCGTAACAGTGTGTGTGTATGTGTGCGCAAGTGTGACAGTGTGTGTGTCTGACAGTGTGTGTGCGTGTTTGTGTATGCATGTGTGTGTGTATGCAACAGTGTGTGTATGCATGTGTGTGTGACAGACAGTGTGTGTGTGTGTCTGAGCAGGAAAACACCTGCTCAGATTCAACCTATAAAAACATTTCTCCTCAGTCTTCGTGAGACACATAAAAAGCAGGTTCAAGCGGAGAAAATCCAGTCCAGAAACCCGTTGACATCCACCAAACGGTTCCTGAAGAGTTTTTCTGTTTTTAGGGTGCGCTTCATTTCATCTCCTCCACAGTCCTGCAGGCAGCATGAAAACCTGAAATCACAGCTGACTGCAGGAGAGAGGAGAACCTTTTTAAAGTTTGGCTGCAGCACGCTGATTGGCTGCTGAGATTGAGGTGAATGTAATAGGTTAGCAGGAAGCCCGTGATGAGCTGATTATAAGCAGCTGCGGAGTGATACCAGTCTTCCTGAAAGAACTTGCGCTGAGCTTCATTTGATTTACCCATTTTGCCCACTACATGTAGACGAAGGAAATTAATTCAAGAGGAATTTGGTAAATTATTAAATAAAAATCATCGGCAGCGTTTCTAAAAGATATCCCAAATATTCACCTGGAGTTCAAACTGGTGATTTGTCAGACACGTCAGACATTTTACAGCAGACGAGTAAATAATAACCAACCCCTTTGCGGCAGTGATACCCTGCCATCTACTGCCCCCTGCTGTCCATTGCTAAACAGGTCATATCAAATCATATTAAATATAAACATACAATTGTGATTACACTTTGTGTGGGTCACATATGCGTGTGACAATAACTCAGGAGGAATTTGGCAAATGATTTATTTATGATTACGAGATTTTACAATTCAACATCAGAAGAAAAATATATTTAACATTTATCAATTAGATCACTTTGTAAGAAAGATGTGAAAATTAAGCAACTCAAATGAGGAGATGCATTCAGAGAAGAGTGTGTGTGTGTGCGACTGTGTGTGTGACAGTGTGTGTCAGTCAGTGTGTGTGTGACAGTGTGTGTGTGACAGTGTGTGTGTGACAGAGTGTGTGTGACAGTGTGTGTGTGTGTCTGACAGTGTGTGTGTGTGACAGTGTGTGTGTGACAGTGTGTGTGTGACAGTGTGTGTGTGACAGTGTGTGTCAGTCAGTGTGTGTGTGTGAGTGTGTGTGTGTCAGTGTGTGTGCGACAGAGTGTGTGTGTGTGTGTGTGACAGTGTGTCAGTCAGTGTGTGTGTGTGTCAGTGTGTGTGACAGTGTGTGTGTGTGTCAGTGTGTGTGTGTGTGTGACAGTGTGTGTGTGACGAGGAAAACAGCTGCTCAGATTCAACCTATAAAAACATTTCTCCTCAGTCTTTGTGAGAGACATAAAAAGGAGGTTCAAGCGGAGAAAATCCAGTCCAGAAACCCGTTGACATCCACCAAACGGTTCCTGAAGAGTTTTTGTTTTTAGGGTGCGCTTCATTTCTTCTCCTCCACAGTCCTGCCGAAGTACTCCTTCTGGAACTGCTGGAACTCTTTCTCCGTGAACAAGGACTCTTTCTCCGGGGTCTTCGGAGCGGGCGCGTCCGGGCGGTTCCTCGACTGACGTCCTGAATTGTGGCTCAAAATCTACAAAGAATACAGGATCAAATAAAAAGTGAAATGGAGTTCATAGAATAGAAACCTTTATTAGTCCCACATCTAACACAATTTACAAAATACACATCCTGTAACAGTTCTTAGGATGTAGTAGCCAGGTATATATATATAGTGAGAGTTGCCAGAGAGATAGATAGATTTTCATCTGCTTTAACCTGTTAAGCCCTGAGCCTGTTTTTCAGGTCTCAGGCTCGAAAATGACATTCCTAGAACAAATGACCATATCTTCCCTTCTAAAAGGGTTAAATTAATAATCTTTTTTCTCAAAGTAATGATAAACCTGTGAGTTGGATGTAGAAAAGTCAGAATCAATATAGATGTTTTTGATTTTAAAGAAAATTCAGATTTTACATAGTAAAAAACTGTAAATTATAGTGTCCGTCCAAATATTATTTTTTACTTATAGTGAAAACTACCCTTGGATGATGGGTTAGTAGACTAAAAGCTTTAGGAATCCAAAGTACAACATATAATAAGTACCCTGTATCAAGATTGATGCAAAACAAGTGACATTTGACCTTTTTAGAGAGATTTAGCCAAAAGAAACCACTTCTGGGGTCATTTGGGTGGATTTTCCATATCTCTGGCCCCCCTTGCTCGATTTTGATGGTTGACACCTCTTTCTGACCATTAGAGCCAATAGAATCGAAGGGGGAGTCCCCCACACAAACACATTGTGAAGAGAAGAGGTGGGGGCTTCGCGCATGTAATTTTGCATCAGAGTGAACCTATCTCTAGCTTTGACATCTGGAAACGGAAAAGCAGTTTTAATGCTTATGGATTATCAGAAATCATTTCAAAGGGACACAGACACATTGGATTAACCTATGGATTAACTTCAGCAGCGTTTTTATCGTTTTAATGCCATTGAAGACCACTTTGGAGAGACTACAGAGCCAAGGTAACCATGTTAGCATTTTTAGCTACCGTTTTTGTTTATAACGTCGCGATTTCGTATAATTCAGTGATAATGTGGGTACCCTTCGGTTCTGTGTCACCTCACGATGTGAAACGATGTGTTGGATGTGGTGAAAAGATAAATAATAAGGTTTTGTGAGGGATTTTCGGTGCAGTAAGGTGTTAGCATTTTTCGCTCGTTGCTAATTCAGAGGCTCAGTGTTAGCATTGTGGGTTTTCTTTTGAAAAAAAAAAAAAAAAAGATCAGTTAGATGAGTTTCTTCCCGTTCCATGGATATAAAACATTCATAGTTTATTAAATATTAAGATGCCCTCAGACACTGTTTCCTCAGATGACGCGTTTCCCCCCCGGTATCAGCAGCTCTTACCTTCGCAGTGTCCGAGTCTCTGGCTTTGTCGACATCTTCCATAAAGTACTTCAGGTTAACGCTCAGCTGACTCTTCTTCTGCTTCTTCCTGAACTCCTCTACAGAAACACCAACGAAGAAGAGGAGGAGGTTTAGAGACAGGAGGAAGGTGTGCAGGTGATGTGAGCTTTACTAAATAATACAATTAACTTATAAAGCGCTTTTCAAGACACACAAAAGTCACATTTAACAAACACAGTGTTTTAGATTGGGGGAGTTATGAGATGGGGGGGGGGGGGGTGGGGGGGGGGGGGGGGGGGGGGGGGGGGGGGGGGGGGGGGGTGTAACTGACCCACTGCAGATTTGATCCTCTTGTCCTTCACGGTGGCTTTGTTCCTCCCGGGTCCCATCTGACCCTGGAGCCTCTTCTTCTGCTTCGTGACGCCCGAACGCTTCGAGCTCACCAGATCCATGACGTCCACAGGGCTGGGAGTCTTCTTCTTCTTCTTCTTCTTCTTCTCTTTACTCACATCTGGGAACAACACAAGGCAGAAACTAAGTTCAAAATCAAATCCCTCCAACGTAAACAATACAAACAACAATAAGATTATGTTACGAGATGTTCAGAGGCCTGTACTACGAAGCCGGATTTTCGCTTAGCGGGCTAACTTCAGGGTTAAGTCTGGGTTTCCGGTCCTACAGCGCTGGTTCACTTCTTAGCGTGCTAGATCTCCATGGTAACTTATGCTGAACGGCTAACCTGGGGCCTGTACTACGAGTCTAGTTCAATATAAACTGGATATGTTTGAGTTAGCCGGTTGGCCCAATCCAAAACAAACCCGCTCTCGCTAAACTGTCCTACGACGCTGGCTATCAACTCGATCGCTCAAGCCAGCCGTGTCCTATCTAGTTAGGTGCACGTTCACATGAAAGGGGTGGTATTTGGAGCATTCGACCAATCACAAACATGGACAAGCGTACTGACAGCGCAGCGTCATACTTCCTGAATGAAAAGTGAACTTTAATATTAGTCAAATATGAAGAAGTTCAACTTTAAACATCCATGACTTAAACACTTTATCCAGGATAAAAGCCACATAGCTGCCCTGCAAGGTGAATACAGCTGGTAAAGAAAAAGTGTTTGAATGCGTACATTAACAGGTTTATGATATCACTGCCCCGTCCAAGACACGATCTGACTTTAATTACATTTGACTCGAGTGTTTCGTCAACTTAATGTGTTGCTTAAAATAATACTTCTGCATACAGATGTGACTGTTGACTGTGAGTGTGCACGGCCAGATAGGCTCAGCTGAGTCAGATAAGGAAATATATGATACATTATG